TTGATCAGTAAAGATTAAAACGGAATTTTGGGAAAGTATCCTTCAGACAACTGAAGTTTTGCAAAGTGTGTTAATCAACACAAGAACATTTGGAAGTGTATTACAGTTACCCATAATCGACATTTATTGTTTCTGTTTGGACACAATCCATCACAAAGCTTTCGGTGACGAATGCATATTCCATTCCATCATTAAAAATATCTAAACTCTACATTACATCAGCTGTCACGACTGTTTTTGTTCATGTAAACATAACTGGATAAACGGATTCTCGCAATGAGTTCATGAGCGACAGTTAAAAGTGATTCACTCAATTTTATATATTACTGATGCATATCGATCAATAAATATCAGTTATAGATAATTGTAATACACTTCCAGATATTCTTGTGCTGATTAACACAGTTTGCAAAACTTCAATAGTCTGAAGAATTCCTTCCCAAAATTCCGTTTTAATCTTTACTGATCAAATCATATTGAGTAGGACTTGCTTGAAAATAATTAACTACACAATAAATCGGGGTGAATTTGAACTTTATGTCCTCAATATAAGCTGAAGTGATGTTTCGGGGAAAGCTTTCTCAACAACTTCCAGTAGTTGGTCTGACTGATCAGATTGTGTTGATTTGTGCCTAAAGTTGTTTTTCTTCACTACCGAGCGGATCCTATACCATCGTGCTATTTGTATAAAAATGGCTTTAAAAAATATTTAGTGACCCGATGAATTACTACTCATTACGTACGGCTACTCAAAATTACGACTGACAATCTATGTTGCTACATACGGTTTGAAGACAGTACAGTTAGCTTGCCACACCCGTGCGTTGTGGTGTTATTTACACTATGAACAGGCCTTTAAAGACAACAAACATATATTTTCATCGTTCCATGAGAATTTCCTAAATCTGTAGACAGATGTCATCAGTACATTTTATCTGCATTTTAGGGAAGTGTATTTTTCGTATGCGTAGGAAAACTTTTAAGTCTCTTCTTTTTCATGACATCTCAAGAACTGTTGCCGAAAGATATCCGTTAAGCAAGTTAAAACAGACAACAGACATAGATCTCCATCATTTACAATCTCTTCAATGTATGCATATTACAAAATAAGCTATTTCACAGAAACACCATTGACCTTAGCCACTTCAAATGTGGAATGACAATCATGAGACAAGCCTATCAAGGTCGACGTAAATAATAGTAAATTTAGTTACAAAATAAATAGATTTTCCTGCGCCTGTGCGGTAATGAGTATACAAACGTGATCCAGTGACTTTGTTTTCAAAAACGTTATCAGCTATGTATGTATCCAGTAAAACTAACAAAGGCTGCATAAATGTACACAAATTATATAACTATCTACTTTGGGAATTTAATTACTCCTACAATAGCAAATACCCTGTCGTAACTGAATACATAGATACCTAGTTGTTGGAAAATTCGGAAGAGCTGAAAGTAAGTTGATTACATGAATTCAAAAGCTAATGCAAATTGACAGACTTCGCAAATCAAACCTATCTCGTCTATCATATGAGAGAACAAACCAGGATCCGGTTGATTAAAAATCAGACAAAAGTTCTGCGGCTGGATATTACACACACAAACCACCCAACTACGTCACAAGGCAAACCCTCAGTTGGTATTTTCGAAACCAAGGGAAAAGAGGAAGACCAAAAAACAAATTACTTCGAAACTTGGAAGCAGATATCGAAAGACTGCACAGCCGTTAGGTGGAACAGTGAAGGAAGTCCCGGATACCGTATTTGCCTGTATATAAAGTTTGTTACATCTTCAGCTTTGGCAAAAACAGTCACAGAAATGTTAACATTTTCACCCAAAACTGGCGCTTTTCTGCGGTATCACTGAGTTTTATGATGCTCAGTGGATTTTTAGTTAGCCAAAGTGTATAAAAGTGTCTACTACAAAAATAATGTTACGTCAATTTCTGCTCCGGTCTGTTCTTCAAGCACAGTTGATTGATACACGTAACTTACTGCTCACGTAGGAGGAGAAACAAAATGTTATTCAGGTTCAAACTTTCATTTGCGAATTCCGAGTAATTAACTCAAATATACTGTTTTCTTAAGTTGCAAGTTTCAATTGTGAATTTCCAAAAATACCGAAACAAATCAATGCTAAACGGGGATACTCAAGGTCGAACCTATCAACGAACAAGCTCGAAATTTGAAATAAATCCATGGTAAAGAAGGTATTTACTGGCGATTTCGTGGTGTCGAAAGAACACCGAAATCGAACCAGTAAAGATGGGCGAATTTACAGAGCGGGTACAGCAAAGAATGGCAACAACATAAACAGAAAGTTTGCTCATAAATGTTGCTATAAACAAAACGTACAGTCAAACAATCACTAGTACAGTTGGTTATAAGAATGAATGCTTCTATTAAACCGATCTCATTCGCTTCATAAAAGTGGGTTCACTACACAGGTTAACTCATTTCAATGGTGAAGCACATGATAAAGGTTTTCTATTGGACAGTGAAAGCAACTGTTTGTGAATTTTCCACAAATGTCCATCACATTCTACATTTTTATTTTAAAGCGTCCAGTAATAAATACTCAAGAATAATTTTAGTCAGTGTGCACTTAAATCTAAAGCATTCAGCTTAGTCGTTTTCTGGTATACACAACGTATCCTTGTCGTGCTATCAAGTTAGTCATTTTACACTGTAGTAAAGTTTCATGCCCATTGACCCCATTATTTCACCTGAGAGGTTATAAACTTGTGGTGGGCGAGAGATACCAGACTGACTATGCTCACCACTAACAGTTCCATGATATCCCGTCGTGATTCATAGCAAAACAACATAAATCCATGGTTGAGTTGTTTATTGAAGGAGAACGTTGGCATTACATGGGGAGCAGCAAATAGATAAAGATGGCAACAACGCGAAGAGAACGTTGCGCGCAAGAAGTGGAAGGAGTGTTTTTGGTACAGTTAAACAAAAGATGTACAATAATATTTATTTTTCACAAATCGTATTTTCTTCGTAGAAGCGTTCCACTACAAACTGACAACGCATTACTAGCTGTTCGGAATCCGAAGTCAACATATTTACAACTATATAGTTTCGGATTAGTTGAAACAACTTTCTGTTCATGTAACATATGGAGTAATCAAATTGCTTGATAAAAAATTGTTCATGTCAGTTATTTTCCATGACTGAGCTCCAGAAGTTTAGAAGAATGAATGATATACGAACTCTATTTGAGATACATGATATACGACTTGATTGGTTATGAAAGACTTTTATTTGAACACTAGTAAATATACAACTTGTAACAAACAATAACCTCAACACCAAAAGTAGATAACAATACATTATCAATAAACAGTCAAGAAACTGCTGATTGTTTTACTTCGATCTACGTCATAAATAAAGACCTATTCAGTCACTACAAATTTATGTATATCGAATGAATGGATATTTATTCGACCGAAAATCACAGTAGTATTGTGGTGTGAGCTACTTATAAGTAGTATATGACGTGAGTGACAACGTAATGTCTGGCAGCAGAAGATGGGGGAAGATCAAGAAAGGAAGAGTTAGAAAACAATGGAATTTGTATGAAACTCATGAATAGTGACAATGGATTGATGTTTTGCAACAGGAACAGTCCAGTTTGATATGATGGACTGATATTTTGCAAATTAACGATTTACGATGTGGTTTTCCAATTTTACTGAGTAACTCTGTAATTTTCGTTAAATACAATTCGGTTACCCCCACCTGTGTTCTCCTTCACAACAGTATCAAAATGACCACAAGGTTGAATACTGTTACTGAACCGAAGAGAAGTGAGAATTCCAATAACACCGATCATTCATCATAGAGTGCAAGCTATCTAATGAAAATAAGTAGCATAATAAATAACAATGCAATTTGATATTAGATGAAAGTTGAAAATTGATACAATTAACAATCATTATTTCACAATTTTTCTTCATAAGATTTTACAATTAAGAAATCGACATCTATCCAATTTTTGGGCAAAAAGTGTACACATGTTTTAGAATTACTGAAGTATAGGAATAACACCATCTTGAAACTGAGCATTAAAACGAAATAAAGAAATACTTTTTCTTCATTAGCTGCCCTTCGTGGTTTTACATATATCTTTAGACAATTCACTAGTGAACGAAAAATTACCATCATTCAGTTTGCTGTTGCTGATACAAAAAATATATCGATTAAGTTATTGAGGATATTAATGGTGGGTCCATAAGGATGTCGTTTAAGAATCATGACGTACAGTAAGTGTGGTTTTAGATTTTATATAACTTAAAAAAATCACCTATGAAAACATCCAGCAACAAGTGAATGAAGTAAAATAATTTTACCTTTAATCCAAATTGTTTTAGGTCTGACTTCCAAGTTTAAACGATTCCAATCATCACCACTGTAACAGGCAAGTTCATTCCGTGTACCAATAGAGTTTGTTGAGTAGATTCACTGAGTTCTAATCTCTTTTTTCCGCTCAGTTGATCGTATACTTTTCTCTATGCCTATTTAGATTAGGTAAAAACCTACTGAACATTGTATATTTTTATCTCAACTATATAAGATGTTCTCCTTTTCACAATGTGAAAACTACTAGTAAGATGGTATATACAGATAATTAGTGTTAGCACATTTGTAATTAAGATTTATACCAGCTACTTTTATTGCGGTTCAGCACTGAAGTTAGTGTGAAATCAGTTAAAGTTTTATCATCATTACCTTGTGTCCTAAAATATTTCATTTAACCAGCTACCGGTCCCTTAAAAATTTATCAATCGATACAATAACTGTACTAATAATAAAACAAATTTCAATGGTGCAAAACTTAAATTTAATCGATTATTTTGTTCGTATGTGTATAGGTAAGTACATAAATGCTAAATGTATTAAATCAGTTAAAATCCTTTATTCATCACCTATTAAATCAATTGATTCGTGTTTATTAAACGTTTAACAAATGACTGTTAAACGAGTAGGTACTATGATTAAAACTTTACTAAAGATTTGTAATATGTCAAATACTTTTACCCATAGAAAATTGCTACATTCATTGAATTCTCCGGATGTTATATACGTCGACAGTAATACTGATATACATAATAATAGAAATCAATGGATTTCCTGTTGATACATCTGAAGAATATTCAAGTAAGTATATATATGTATATTTATCCTCATTGGAATGGATGTAAAATAATTTATTATTATGCATTTAAAAACGCCACAATTCCCAAGATCATAAAACACTGAGTATCCTTTGGTAAATAAAAAAATGAAACTGACCATGAATATAATACTAGGTGTCCATTTTGATGAAGACTAATCTATGTTCAAACCTGTTCCTACTATATTCAATGACACGGATTCAAGTAGCTACAAAAACGTTATTTCTCTTAAATTTGCAAATATGACCTTCCTGATAAATGCTGATTATCTTAGTTCATTGTTGAAAAACAGTAGTAAAATATGACAGTAGAGAAGAGGAAGAGTGATAAAAGTTTCTGTTTATAAACTATACAACCCTAGAAGGCATTATTTTTTGGTTCAAGCAAACTTTAGATATCATAAAAGAATAAAATATTATATATAATGCTGAATTAATTACTTCACTAATTACTACTTGATACTATGAGTTTAACTCGTAAATCAACAAAATATAAGAATGACAAATTTTTTTATTACAATAGGTTTTTTTAATATGTTTATTTCGCGAGGAATAATTTCCATACGTAGTCAAATAAGCCGTACTTCTCACCAAAACTTTTTGACGAGGTTATGTTTTTTATCTCATGGAAGATAATTTAAATCCCTCTTACTAGTTATCTAAAAATCTTCGTCTCCGGCTCTGTTTTTATGCGATTTCATAACAAAAATGTTGAACTTTTCACATGCGAGTCAAATTATCTGACAATAACATCGCCAACAGTAGATCATAATGAACAAATACTAGATTTCAGAGTTGCTCTCAGTTACTTCGACAATATGAATATAAATATTGGTCTCTTGAATAGAATTATTAAGAACAATCATCTACTAGAATCGGGATTGTTATGTGATGAACCGAAAAATATTCTCAATGGTTGTTTTATGACTTGTATTTGTACCGGCTTTCATCCACTTGCCGCCTGACAAGTAACTTCTGATTTTAATGACTCTGATGGATATGTTGTGTTTTAATCACAAAACTTGTTTCTTGATTCGTTGCCTAGTGTGTTTGTTTTATGAAATCTTTTCAGCTAGAATTTATTGATCGTTTTGTGTGAAAATATTTTTTAGGTATTAACTTCTTTGAAAAAACAAAGGGACTATTCATCGTTAATGAATATATGCTAAATTCGAAATGAAACAAAAAGTGTTAAATTGAATAAATAAATGCAAATATCGAACTGCTGTTCAGTCAAATACGAATATATACTAAATCAATGCGTACAGGATAGATATGGATGTCAAACAACACAGATATACTATGTAACAGTAATATTTAAAAATGATTATATATAGAAATCGGAGTCATAGTTCTAGTATATTTGAATGGCGACTAGCATTGTAATCTAAGATACCAACTTCGTCCTATTTGGGTCTCATCAACTGTACATACTTTTATACCAATTATTATATTAATACTAAGACATGAACCCAATATCTAGCACTCCATATGCCACGAAGCATGTCCGATATGCTACTGGGTTCAGATAGCTGCTGACTTATTCAAAAGTTACCAGGTTTAATCGTAAGCCATCAAGTTTTCGGGAAAATACTTTAAAGTCCAATTTTTCGATATTTGTTCCAACAGTTTAGAAGTATGATAATAAAAATCAGTCCCCTTTCATAAGTTACTTTTCTAAAAATACCGTCGGTGGACTGAACACATAAAGTTAATATAGTGCTGAGTAAATATTCAAGCATGGAAGTCAAAGAACTTTTGCGAGCACGGCGGTAGGCAACAACGAACAGAATAATGTTGATGAATACCCAAAAAATCACAGTCAGTTTAAATATATATATATATATATATATATATATATATATATGTTTGTGAGCAGGCTGATTGCGTGTGCTGTCAGGGATATGAGGGCGGATGCTACTTTTCGGCTGTCTACTCTGTGGATGGATGTTTCTTGAAGAACCTGAAGAGGAATTTAGGTAAGCATTGGTCTTAGTGACCTGGGAACGTTACCACAGAGCCCAAGAGACAACTGCCTGAGGCCGACTGCACAGGGTCTTTTCATCAGAAGCTCCAAAGGTGTTAGCTCCGCTTTTCCAAGGGCCTTACCATTAGAGACGGAAATCCGTGGGTTAAGGTAAAGAGTGACATTTTTAGATTCGACCTTGTCCAATCCCTTCGTTGTGATAAGGAAGCATCGCTGCAGATGCTGGTTGTCTGAGAGAAACACCTTACTGCTATCACACTCCTCTGAACTCGACAGTACAACTTCACCGTAAGACCTTGAGTAGCTGCTTTTAGTCTCATCGTTCTCCAATCGACCTGCCTGGCATGGTAGAATCCAAATCCAATAAAGCTCGGTTGGGTCATTACTATAGGCAAGCATGACCACCACATCAAGGTAGCAGCTACTGTCATCAATACTGCTACAACCTCTACGAATATAGGATTTTAACTGACAACTCCATCTTTCTGTGCCAATCTGGTAAGACAACTTGGACCAATGAACGTGCGTATCAAGTTCCACGTTGTAGCTGGCTGATATATATATATATATATACACCGAACAAAGTAAAATTAATGGTTTCGTATCTTAAATGCAAACTAAACCATACATCACTATCCCCAATTAAATAAATAGTAAATACCTACAGCTATAAATTTCAGTCAGGATTCCTAATGCTAATCGAATAAAGGTTTTGATAACTCACTTAACTAACTAATTTAGTCGGTTTTTGCAAAATCTTTTATTCAGTCTAAATGAATAGAGTCAAAGTGTTGATTAATTTCATTCTAATATACTGAATTCATTAATGATAAATATTTTATTTATTTGAAAATGTAATAGATCATTTTTCAGTGGTTCTGAAAAGAGTTTACTAACTTTCGATATTAATATCACCTGGACAGTAGCAGCAATTCAAGATATCTCATATCCTTTTTTGTTAATTTTATCTGCTTCAGTTGTAGTAACCTTTAACATCTGACAATGAGCTGAGGACCATGAGATTAAAAAACTATCCTTCCATCAAAACTTCAACCGATATATTCAGCTTAATTTCCATCCGGGTCTCTAATGTATGTACTAACCAATCAAATTTTATTAAGTATCGAGTGGGAAAAGGAACCTTTCATGATTTTCCATTTTATTAAATAAAGTGAATATGAACTGTATTTTTCATACAATAGGAAACTATAAAGACAAGTAGTTTTTATAGGTTTATCCAATAAACGTTTTATTCTAAATTCTCAAAATCTAAGTCTAATTTTAATGCAAACACCATCATTGCTTGATATTTTTCTCTAGGAAATCTACTCTTACGACAGCTCTTAAACTTTCAACTGCCAAAAGATTCAAATTTTGAATCTATCAGTAGTTTATCACCAACCGCATGGAATCCAACGTGGTCTGCTCTGTTATGGACATCGTGGTCTAAATGGGAAAGTTGTACACAGAATGAATACTGTATGAATAATCAGTATAATTATAATAAATCAGAAATTTTTGAAAATCTGTTGTTTCGAACACGAGTATGTCAATTTCAATCAATGAATGAACAACTATTATGGTCACAAACAATGATCAAAGGTGTCAATTTATCAGGTGAATTATCTACTTGCTCAGAAGAAGGTCTCATTCAAAGTGATGTCAAACATTGTCGTGATTTGCTTCAGTGCATCTACAAAAGTATTCGTTTTTCAGTTTTGATAATTTGATACCTTATGGGCCTTTTTAACACCATATAATATTAATCAGTGCTTTTTTTCATTTTATGCTGTCAGTATTGAATAAAAAGCCAACTGCTAAACAATAATGTTAACACAACTCCGTCCAAAGCTGCTCAAACAGTACATATTTCTGCTTAAAAGTACACATTGCTACATTTACTGTTATAATTAGTAACTGAAAAAATATTTTTTACCGAAGTAATAATAAATATTCAGATAAGATTGTTCGAATGCTATTATAAATGAATTCTAATGTATTTTGATAACACAAACTAGACGTGTATACCTATCTTTGAGTCAGGAAGGTTCATTTGATTAGTATTCAACCGATCAGAAGTAAAACGGAATTTTATGATCATCAACTGAGTAAAAGTGATATTATCTTTAACTTTGTAATTTTCTCATTTGTATTGGTTGCTTGAATCTTCCCACTGATTTTGAAGACTACAATTGATCAGTCCCATTGGCATATGTGAATTCTAAGATGCAGGTATATCCAACTTAAGACAAGTTTCGAATAAGACGAAACGTGCGTTCTGAACTCCACTACTAGCCACTATGCACCTGTGTTAATAATGTTTGTCGTTCTCTGTCTATTCATATCATTTATGTGGTAGTAGATTAATTAGTAGATAATTTTAAGATTAAATGATTGCGTCTCTTAATTTTCAAGCCAAAAATGCAACTCATCCCATTCAAAATCGATAATTACTACTTTGAAATAAACCTATATCCTAATCATATGTCGATGGAAATTTAATGCAACTAATGTTTTGTGAAGAATATGATGAATATAAACTATAGTCATGATCAGTAAAATAATGACATATTCTTACTAACTTACTTACTCATTTACTTACTTATATACGCCTGTTACTCCTAATGGAGCATCGGCTGTCCACCACGATTCTCCAAAATACTCTGTCCTCAGCCTTCCTTTCCACTTCTTCCAAATTTTCGTTCATTCCTCTCATGTCTGTCTCCATTACTCAACGTATTATGTTTCTTAGTCTTACCCTTTTCCTTCGGCCTTGAAGATTCCATGTGAGGGCTTGTCGTGTGACGCAGCTGGGTGCTTTCCACAATGTATGTCCTATCCATTTCAGCCGCCTCTCACTGATCACCTCCACCGCTGTGTTCTGGTTTGTCCTCTCCCACAACAGGTTGTTGCTAGTAGTATCTGACCAACGGATCCGAAGTATTTTGCATTGACAACTGTTAATAAATACTTGTATCTTCTGGATGATGGCTTTCGTACTTCTCCATGTTTCCGCTCCATACAGTAGAACTGTCTTGACATTTGAATAGACAATTCTGACTTAGGTGTCTAATGATAAGTGTTGTTCCACTGTAAAAATTCAGACCTCGCTCTGCCGATCCGCATCACATCTGCATCGGCTCCACCTTGTTTGTCGATGATGCTGCCCAGATATTTAAAGGCTTCTACGTCTTCCAAGGCATCACCATCAAGTGTGATTTGGTTGGTACATGTTTTGTTTTTTTTGCCGAGTCTTGCTTTTCCCTTCATCTGTGTTAAGACCTGCTGCTGTTCAGGCTGTTGCTACACTGGTGTTCCTCTTCTGCATTTGCTGTTGCAGGTGCGATGGTACCATTATCTCTCATAAAACTCAAAAATTTTAAAATGGTTAGCTTAATTTACTTTTATTTGTGATTATTGTCAATAATTCCCATTTACGAATTTACGAGAACGAAATAAATTCTTTATTATCTTCTAATTCTAGCTTCATCTGGAAATCATTCCGTCAATGTATTATCGAAATCAACTGTTAAAAACTTTTCATCAAAATGTACAGAAAATGGATGCTATATTATGGATACCACCGAAAATCAAATCAACACGGAAGGTAAAATTCAAAAGTAGTACTTTGACAGTTGACGTTAATCTTCACTATTATCTGTCTCCACATAACTTTTGACGTAAATAGATACCGTAGACAACTATATTTCTATGTCATCTAACAGGAAAGTACCGTTAATAATTTGTACTACTGTCTTTTCCACTAATATAGATAATCAAACAACGGAAAGATTTTCAAAACGTAGTGAAATTTGGGGACCATGGATAGCTTTGCAACAGTGCTCAGCAATTATTCCGACTATTGATGATTTACCAGAAGAATATCCCTGGGAATTATTACTTAATTTAACACGAGCACCAGCTGGAAGGAGATGTGAACCAGGACTGCAACTTCAAATACGAAAGTTACTGAATGAATCCAGTCTTATGAATGAGGTAAATACTGATCTTTTAGAAACGTTTGATTATTTTAGTTTAACTTGAAATATTATTTGTTTTTACATCTCACAACAGTGTTAGTTTGAAAGAGCTGTCAATTTAATCACTGTACTGAATCGTGCATATTATCAACCGTCATGGTTATCAAGTTACTTAGAATATAAATGTGTCTTGAAAACTTTTGATGCTCTATCCGGAGGAAGACTAGAGAAATGGTAACTTCCAGGAGAAAATTATGAATTATTATCATATATATTCTTATTGTGTTTATCAAATAACTAGATTATAACATATTTGTATTCTTTAGGTCATAAGTTCCTGATTGATCCATTAACTGATTTTGTACGACTTACTATTACTAATCCTTTGCCAGTTTACCATAAACAGACTCTCCTATTTACAAACACTTCAGTTTGCTCATGTAATAATGCATTTTTTCATAGTATGGTGTGATGCGGTCTGGTATGTTCGTTATGGAAACTATGTCTGTTTGATTATGATGAATTTTTCGGAGGCTGGCTACGGATATCTGAACTAAAATGCAGGGTTAAACAGAAAGAGGCTATCGAGTTGTGGATCAATAAGGACTTATAACTAACTCATGATTTCTGGTGCTGACGTAATGCTGAATGGTGTTTCGTATTTGTAATATGATAGTGGTCGATGGTTAGGGATACAACAGTTGAATTTTTAAAAGTAAGTGGTTGTTTATTACCGTGATTTACAATGAGAATATATCGAATAATATCCAAATTTCAAAAATATTATATTGTAGATACGATTACCGACAGAAGATTATTCCCAACAGCATTCAGTATAATAACTATTTTTGAACTGATAGAGATGATTTGAGGCTCAGACTGGTCCCTTTAGTAATACTGACTTATTTGAGCTAGGTGTCATCCGGGACGGCACCATCTGCGACTACTTCATCCAAACTTCTGTGTAAAATCAATATGGATTCTAAAAGGAGGGTAAGTTTTCGTCGTAATTAGATGGACAATGCTGAGACTCGAAGCCTTAAATCGCTTATCACAACGCTCATTACAGTAGGCATAATAAATATGTTTAAAAATAATCAGAACTTATTCTCTAATAACAGACACGGAAAATTTGGTTGGAATATTATCTAACTAACACTGTATTAACCGTTCTCACAAAACGAATTTATTGAAATAAAACATTTCATGTATGGTTATAATCTGATAAATTTTTACATGTAATATATATTTTCAGCATGAAAACTCTCATAATGAACCAAAGCCACCTCCGAAATCAATGATGATAGCAACCCCAACTATCAGTGAAACACGTAAAATTCACTGTTGGATTAATGAAGCATGTCATACATCCGAAGTGAAAGTTGAACCGCCAACCACATGTTTTTTTCAAGCAATATATCGTAGTCCTTCTGTACAAGTTAAATGGCGTCGAACACCATATGGTCGTATGCCATCTCATTTCGAAGTACATGTTTTAGATCTTATAAATTCTGTTCATTATCGAAAATCTGAACTTTATATCGAAGAAGTCAAACTAAATAAATTGGATCCATGGGGAGAAAATTATGTAGTAGAAATATTTGGTTTAAAAATCGGTCAACCATATGAAATAAGTATTGCATCTGCTGATGAAATGAGTAATTTATATTTTTCAAAATCTTGTGAGGCAGTAGTTATTATTGGAGCTGGTGAGTTTATTGTGAAATTTTTAAATAGAAGTAAATTTATTCTAATATTAAAGGATCAAAGCATGAAAACCGTTTGTCGCGGCTTTTTTTGCTTTTCTGTGATAAAGATTCAAGCACTAGTTTTATAATCCAAGACAATTCTTATCATAAATTTTGTAAAATTTCAAAAACATTATATTTACTGTGAAAACGTTTAATTAGTGTAATGTGCATAGTTAGATTAGAAGGGATTCTAGCAAGTAAAATTGAACCATCTGATTTCTCTTGATAATTCTTTTTTTAGTATGAGTTAGAAACAGTTAAATACACAAGAGGAAACACATCTATTTTTTCAACACGATTCCCGAATCATTTGAGACCCTTAGGCTTGGACTGTTATGCGTTATCCTTAAAATGCTAATGTCTATGAAAACTACCATTTTCTAGTCTCTGATCGAAGTTTATTATTTACAAGTCAGTTGGCTCGAAATATATTTCTGATTGCCAATTAGCCTTAGCTCCTCTGATCCACTTATTATTATAATCTACTGAACGGAACTAACTGGGAAGACTAAGTTATAAATTATATTAACAAATGAGAGCAAGCGCCTGTAATTAATTGACCATATACGTTAGCGGAGTATACGAACAAACAAAACTCTTTGCAAAGTCACTATTAAGATGTTTAAAGAGTCACTAAGTAAGATATAAAAATCAATAATGACGTATCAAGTGACTTCTTTTTTTTTATTTTTTCGTTGGTTAGTTGCATTTCTCAATATTTGTTAGGTAAATCAAACATGTACGTATGTTTACTCCTATCCCGTTTGTGTAATAGTTAGTAAAATGGTCCGTTAAACTAAGTGAAGTAGCCACTTAGAATGTTAAAAGCCTAATCCAATTAATATAATCAACTGATAAATAGATGAATACAATAAAATCCTTCATTACATTATTAAAACTCGCTAAGAGATAGATTATTTTACTAGTAACTTTACTAACATAATTATTTGAAAATATATTTTCCCGATTCGAACGAATTTCATTAAAATTCGATCTTATTAGATTGTCCTATCACCATTTTAAAACTGCTAGTTAGACGTCGCCTTGGGTTGAATTCAAAGGACCCAAATATTAGACTAGCACATTTTAAAATTTTCAAGCATTTTAACTGAATTAATGATGACTGAAAAATATAGCTAAAACTTACATAGAGAGACGAACTAATCAGCAATTTCTCTTTCATCCGTATATTTAAATGAATGATATGTTTACACTCTATCTTTCAGGCGATGGTTCATGGTCGAAATGGTCAAATTGGAGTAACTGCAATTCAAAATGTGCATCAAAGCTAGGTACACGTAGTCGGTTTAGAAAATGCAATTCACCAGCGCCTAGAAATGGTGGTCGTGTTTGCCCTGGTCCAGAACAAATGAACTTCGAATGCTTTGGGACCAATATTAATTGTTAAATAAAAATTAACCGGACTGTTTTCTAATTCAAACCAGAGTTAAGTTGTATTTTTTCTAGATATGTATGATCAAACAGTCTCGTAGAATATTAAACATCAGAGTAAGAACTGGTTGCAAAAAAAGTTTGTTATATACATCTGAAGTTTCGCCGCCTCAGTGAACCAGTATATTCGAGATATTCAATGCTTCTTATTTGGACATTTAATTAGCTACATCTGAGTTTTAGACTACTATTTAAATATATTCCTTATGTTATACATCTGACAGTATGTGGTCTTTTGTCGTATAATGCTGATGAGTCACAGTGATTCACTATCTACATTTAAATGATAAGATTTTTTCGAGTTTACAGGAATGAAGTTAATCGTTTCGATCATTGAATGTTAATGATTATTTTGTTCAGTCATACGACGTTTAATACGGCCTAACAAAGTAAACCATGTCTTTGAAACTGGGTTAGTAACCGAGAGCGAATCTAGCCTAATTCCTTCAAAACAATACAAGTACAATCATTTCATGAAATTAAAATCGAACTATAGATGACCCTGAATAATGAAGAAATAGCTGTCTCAGTTTATAATTACTGAACATCAAAAATGTTTTGGACTGATAAGATTAAGAGAACTTGCTCGAACCAAGCACCAAATAAATAATTATATCAATTGATAATCCAGTTAGGTAAGAAAACCCAAGTATCAAGATTAAAAATAAACCGAAATGGGAAGGACTCTGATGATGAATATAATAGACAAGTTATGAGACATTCATTGAGTTCAGAAGGGAGATGGCAAACCATAGTTTTGTACGTGTATCGACTCAGTCAGCTGTGCAACTTAGGAATAACAAAGCACTTAACAATTCCGAGTTGCGAACTAGGAATTCGGCTATCCCCTTATATAAGCCAGTCAGTCAGTCAGTTACAACTTAGATTTTCGTACGTACGTACATCAGTTCAGGTTGCCATACCACATTAGCACAGAGACTCCACTATCAGTTCAAATCCCATAGTGGTCGAGATAGTAGAAATAATGGGGATCGAATAAATTATTCAGGATGTAGAGTTCAGTGATATAACTTTAGGAAGAGAAAGATAAACATGATGAGGAATTCTGAAGATTAGAATTTGAGAGAACATGATGAATGAATGCACCTGCTCCATCGCAAACGATTTTGAGCCGTGTCGTTCAACGTCTCTAACCATCGGCTACATTCGTCTCGCGGACCCCATCCAGGTAGCCTACATCTCCCAGCATGACTTGATTCACTTGTCAGTGACTTCATGATTTTAGTTTGTCCTTCCCTAGCTTTCTTTCAACCTATTCGTGCATCGCTAAGCATAGCTCGACGAGGCAGTCGGTGGTTGGGCAATCGTAACGCATGTCCCAAACACCTCAACTGAGGACGTTTCGATACTTCATCTACTGGTCTGTCAGCCCTGTCTATTACCCATTTCCTAGCGACGGCATTGCTTATACTGTTGTCCCAGAATATACGAACAATGATTCAAAGACATCTATAATCGAGTACTAATAACCTATGAATATCTTTTACTCTGACTGGCCATGTTTCGCAGTCATATTTTAGGACAGAGCAAACTGCTGCATAGTACAATCATCCCTTAGTCAGCGAATAGGTATCTCGCCTGCGCCATAGGTGACTATGGTTGAAAAATGCCAGTCGAGCCTTTTGTATCCATGTTGAGATTTCGTCAGTCATCAGGCCATCAGCACTGATGAGACTCCAAAGATAAGTGAAGTGGTCAACATGCTCGACCACATCACTTCCTTTCACTAGTTTAGGAACCGACGCAAGCCAATCTTGAAGCAACATTTTGCATTTCGGTGGGGAGACGGGAACCGGATCCTGAACATGCTAGCGTTCGGCGTCTTAACCAACTAGGACTATGTCATCAGGATACTCTAAGTCAGCAAGAGTGTCTACCGGTATAAGGTTCACACTTGAAAAATCAGACGAAGATAAGGTTATATCTGGAAGCATGTCTATGACAAAATTAAACAAGAACAGTGTTGTTCGAGTAGAGAGCTTTTGTAGGGCTAATGTACTTCTTTCTTACACCTTTCAATGACAGACACTGCCAAAGAACCTCATGATTGACAGAGTCGAATGCCACCTTAAGGTCCAGAAATACTACTATTTTGGGGCGCCTGAACATGTTTCTTTTTTTACAACCTAACACAGTGTGAATATCTGGTCTATACATCCACGCCCAGGTCGAAAACCAGCCTGGTTTTCTCTAGTCTGCTCTTCACGAGCTTCTGTTAAGCGTTGGAGTATTACTGAGGCAAATGTTTTCGACTCTTTATTAGTTAGGCTGATTCCTCTGTGATTGTCACAAGAAGACTTTTGTCCTTTCTTGTAAATTGAAACAGTCAGCAATTTAGACCGATCGGATAGGATTATGCCAAGTCATCAGATTCTACCTAAGATCTCAGTCAATCTGACTGATAAATTTGGACCATCATTCTTTAAAATCTCAGGGGTTAGCCAATCAGGCCCTGCTGTTCTCCTTCACTTCAGATTTCCTATAGCTTTCTCGACTTCACAAAGACTCGGAGGACTTATATTGATTTGCCATTTCAGGATGACTGTAGATCATGGGCAATGGAAGTGTGGCTGAAGGCAAACTGAACTGATCCCTAAAAGGTTCTGCCCATCGATCCAATCTCCTGATCTGAGAACGAATCATAAGCCCATCCTTTTCTGAGATAATTTCGCTAACAGGTATGTTTCTAATACTGGGAAAATCGTCTAACGCTGCCTACTGCCGCTTCTTCCCCCCTCACAATCATTTCTACCAACTAATAAACTAATTTATTTATTCATATACATAGTTCTGAATTCTTATTCATATTAGAACTAGAATTTTCTTCTTATTACTCTCCACATTGCAACTAACTGATCTCCTTTCTGATAATGTAAGAGCTACTGGTATCCAGAAACCCTACTGCCCTGAAATAAACGTTTTCATTCGAATCACGGGACATACAAATCTCAACCAACTGACAACTGACTAGAATTGGACTGTCGAGTGGCTGGATCCCCATTCATTTGACACTATCAAAAACCTGGAACCGTACTTACAAAACAAGGGTGGAGCAAAAAGAAATCAAACGGTTTATACTAGCTTATGAAAAAGATATTGAATATATATTGGATAGTGAATGGTATACAGTACGTGTTTTCCTTTCACTGGGTTGCCCTTGAACTTAGGCAACGACTTAACAGCTCAGGGTCAATGCTGGAGAAGCTATCGAATAATATATTGCGGGGTATAATAGCTATAAGTACCGGTATAATCACTTATAAATATCACTCACTTGTTGGTACAATAGTTTATGCAAGTTTCGGACAAACATTTGCTAATATTCTTAGTGTGAAGGTGTTAGTATGGAGCCCACTGTTAATGATGGCGATTACTTAGTTGTTGAAAGGCTCTCACTCATTTTGGGACGCGTTAAAAGGTAAACTATATTTAAGCGTTCCTTCTACTCCTAGAGGAGATGTTGTGGTTGCCGGTCAACGCAGAAAATATGATACTACACATGTTCTGAAGCGAATCAAGGGTCTTGGGGATGACCAAATTACTTTTTGGGATAATAGTCACTGGGCAATTACCGCTAAACAGGTAACAGTAGCACTCTTCAGATTTAATTGTGATCTTGTAGTCGTATCCAGGGTCGACATGACTATACTTATGTTTTTTCCGAATACCTATTATGTTTACTGGCTATAATGCTGAAGACACATCTTGTATTGTCCTTAAAATTAAAGATACCTTGCCTTGAACCGGATCCTCCCGCCTGGTTTCCGAACTCATTTTTTTGCAGACTTGTCATTTTGTGGAACAAACTGAAATTTTTCTTAATCTCCCAGTTAACAATAGTTCTTACTTTGTATAAGTTAACCTAGATAAAAGGAGTAAGTACTTGGCAAATATAAGCATATATTGAGTCACTGATCTGACGAGTACAGACAACAACGTCATTGTAATATAAACTAGGTCTTTTCTTTTTTGTTTCTAGCACATAAAGGTCGAAATTTGCATCTACACATTAAGAGCAAGCTGATGATAGGTGTCAGAAAAGAGTTGCTATTATTAGTGGTCTTACTAAAAGTCAAGAAAATATACTTTATTCGGACTAATAAATGCACAGAACTTAGCTGATTAAATCCTAATGTATATATTTATCTTATTTGAGTTAAATCATCATAGGTTTGCAATAGTCCATCTCGCAACTGAAAACTACCGCTAGTGAATGTTATGAATAACGCACCCGCTCGACTTTGAATACTTAATTAGCTTTTACTTTCATATTATTTATTGCGCATTTTATAATACTATAGCAGGTGGTTTTAATCTCCTTACTTCGTGTCGCTTCATTTTCCTGAAGATGGTTTTTGTTACCATTGAAATTGATAAATTTTGTTAGTTTGGAAACATCTTTTTAACGTGGACGTTCGCGTCAATATACCATTCTAAGCTCTGTTTATGATTATACATTTCAATTAAAGTATAGAGTATTGATAATGTTAAAATATTGCTGGTATATTCACGTAGTTATTTCTCTTCTCAGGTACCTCAAGGTCATGTTTGGTTAGAAGGTGATAATGCATCACAGTCGTTAGATTCTAGGTCTTATGGTCCCGTTCCCATTTCTCACTTAGAATACAAAGTATTTCTCCGTATCTGGCCGTTAAGTCACTTTGGACGACTTCAAACACCAAAATCTGTTACCTGTACAACTGATAAACCGTGTAATCCTGCAGTTGTAGACCTGGGTTCAATGCGAGAACGGGAAAAAGATCAGAATATTTGATAACCAAGTCCATGGACCTTCTAAAATTTTATTTGACCATTGATTACTACCCACCGCTGTTAGAATTTTTCTAATTCTTATTACCTGGTATTTGGAAATATTGTTCTGAAAAACGCCAATTCAATGTCTTCCACTTACCCTTTATTTCGTTCCTAACATTTTATGTTGCAAATATTTCCTTTGTTATTGCACTTCTTTTGTAAAAATATTTTTCATCGACCTAAATATTAGAATTTTTACTTTAATTTGTAAATGACTGACTTTCATGTATATAAAATGCTTTTATTCTGCAACCTGTGTACATACCTAGGAGAAATACAAAAGCTACCAAATATCTCTTCATAGGGATATTTATATACGTTTGTTATTTCCCAATATACTTTTCGAAGTTTTCAAATCAAATACTGACGAGAAGTAAATGTTTTTGAAATGATACTAATTTTAAAACTAAAAGCTCTGGGTCGCTGGCATGTAAAACTATTAGAATTACTACTAGAGATTCGATGGCTTTAGTTATTTTCCTAATGAAAAAGGATGAAGCATGATACAGTATATTCTGTTATCTCCATATGTCTGATCTGTCAACTAGTCTCCCTAAATTCAATTGGTTTCCACTTTTTTTCGGATGTGAGACTGAGACATCCATATATTTGCTAGTAGGTATAAATTTGTCTTGCTTATAAAAAGATCGCCATTCATTCAAAGCAACAACTCTCATATACTATTAATGATAGCCAAGATATGGGATGTTTTACTTTGACTATAGGAATTAAGATGTACAAAAGGAGAAAGTTGAGAAAATCTGAAAACGCTACTAGTCACTAACATCTTAAGTAAGGCTTATAGCTACAGTTTAGAATAGAGTCGCTAGTACTTTGATAAGCAGTGAGTGTTTAATAATTGCTTCGTTTCTTAGTACAATGAATTCGTAAGATTTGTTTTGGAGAACTTCGTGTCAAGTTGTACGTTGCATTATCTGTTTTCGATGCCTGAGTCCCACCTATCTAATATTTATAGAATCATAGTGTAGCACCTCACATATATCTTGTACTTTTATCATTGTTGAGCTTGTATGCGCATGTACTCTTGGGCATTACTTGCCACCTACACATATAGTTATTTGACTAGCTGTATCGATTAACAGTTTGAATAATTCGATGTCAATATTGACTTTACATATTTGAATTAAATCCGATTTTTGTATCGATCATTAAATAATTTGAATAAAGAAATTGTGGCAAAAACTCGTGTTCTCTTGTAGCGATCACCAAGACGGAGATATACGGGAAATCGAAGATAACGAAAATCTAACGCCACAATAGCAGTAGATTTAATTATCGTCCGAATATGAATAGAAGTTAATCAGTTTTGAGCTTGTTCCTTACAAGAATCAAGTATTGAAAGCCTGATAATATATTTGTTTTGCTAAGGATCACTCAACTGATTCACTCAGCTTCATATCTATGATTAGAGAAAATAATTAAATTTTACATGATAAAAAGATTCATTTCTGCAGAATAGTAGAAGCATTTAATCAATTAACTGGGTGTAATTGTAACAGTAAATTTAGGAGCATGGCCGTTCGAAAATGTGTATAATATTTTGTAGATTTAATATCCATTAAGGTATAATTCTCATTTAAATCTTGTAAAATTAGTCAGTATATTTATTTAAGTCATAGTGCTGTCTCTGAAATTCATTTTTATCAACTTGCCTACTTGTTAGTAGTCAAATACGCTGAACGTATTTTTTGAATTTTGCGAATCAAAATCGATTTTTGTCAAATGCAAATAGTCTTGTAGACTAGCTTATTCATCAATAAACTTTCATTCGGTAATCGATGCAGAGTATGTAAGCGGTCTCTGCTTCTATCAAAATCCAGCTATCATTATAATGGAAGTCTATATTTTATATAATTTAACCAGTGGTTTTGTGAAACTTTTCGTCGCCAGTATTAATCATGAGTAAAATCCAAAAGACATTATTTTTTGGAGTAATCTCATAAGGAAAAGTTCTAAAGTGTAAATGTGTTATTTTTAATTTGGATTTCAAATTACCTTTGAAGTGCAGTGTTGTATTAAAACCTTTTGATGGTAAGATGACCATAACATAGATTGAATAACCAGTTATCAATCTTCAATAAATGGCAGTGTTAATTACAGTCATTGCAAATCTTGTACAAACTGAATCCTACTTCTCTGTTTAAAAACTTGCCTCTTAACAGTAAACAAGTCGAAGTAGGATATTTAGACTTCTTTAAGTAAGCTGATTGTTTTATTTTCAAAATAGAAATTCATAATCTTTCATGGGAATACAATGAACAATAATCGAGGTCAGTTTTACAAAACGAAATAATTTTCATACTTTAGCCAACAGAATAGTTGGATACTGTATATAATTATATCGACAATAAATCTTTCACTTAAACCTAAGTTTTTAATTTGAAAATTAAAATGAAGCAGTATTCGCAATTAAATATATCCCGTTAGTTACCCAATATAGGTTTCACAACAAAATATGTTGATTTTCGAGTTCAATTCTGTTTAACTTGATTGTAGTTTACAAACGTGAATGACCTTAGTAATGAATTTATACTTAGTAGCAGATTCAAAACAACTTTTTCTAACGAAATGTAGGTCATTTCATGTACATTATACAGTTCAATCATTTAGAATGAAATTACAATCGTTCTTCAAAGTATAACACTGAGAATATCATCAACAAAAGTTGATTATATTAAATCAACAATATATTATATGAGAAACTATTTAAATAAATAAACATATGCTTCGTTACTGAATTAATTGTTTATTTATAAGAAAGAAACTATGTAGTAATACCATATGATAAATGATTAACCACAGTGTAGATCTATTAGTTTCGCGACACAGTTACTCATTTTGTTATTCAACGAAGCGTTATAGTAGAAATTATATTGTAATTTATGGACGTTCAGTCTTGTGTGACTGGGACAATCCTAATGCAAATTAACTTTATATAAGTCAACAAAAGTCAAATGAAGGACCACGAATTTAGTGTTGATAGCTTATCAATGATTGGTTATATAATGAATGAAACTGAGACAGGTTTTCTATTGAATCAAGGCAAAGTGATTTAATCTCAGCAATCTGTTTTTCTATTAACCACTTGTCTGAAAGTAGCCAATCAAGGAGAAAGTATTCATTATACATCATTCACCTGATATTTATATCAGTAAATATTAACGAGTCATTATCTTCACTCGGAATCAATTGTACTTAATTATCGTATTACGAATAGGACAAATTACCAAGGATCACCTAAATAAGAAACCAAGTAAACAAAAAGTGTGAATAGAAAGATGAGTTTAAACAAACAGTCATTAAAAAATTCGGTCAACAAATAGTCTTCTTTTCTTATTGACCAACAATTCACCGAGTGATACAAGAACGTAAACTAGTTAGATAATATAATTAAACTTTGGATTTCCGATCACCTGTAGCTTGTACGACACTACGGTATTAGTATAAATTTACAATTAATAGTCTTTATAATTTTATATTCTTTACTCCTCAAACTGGTTTTATTGTCAACGCGTTCTTAAGAATAAACACTTCCTATATTTTTCTCCACTATTTCAGTATCACCGTACCAGTAGGTCTCCTAGAAACGAGAAATCAACAAAATTTATGATCATCTTAATGTTATGATGAAAAGTTTCATTACAGGGAAAATAGTTCAGAAACTAAAAGTCTAGACATATATTTGAAAAATAGTCTGCAATATTTACTCGTTAGGTTACACTGAACGAAGTGGTCATGGTACTTAGAAATAAAATCATGTCTCCTGTCAGTGAATGTTCCTTAAATTAGGCTTATAAGAATATAGAACTCTAAGTGGATAAACTATAAAGCAGGAATATGTTTGATGATGTACCAAACTTTGATTTCACAAATCTTTGAAGCACTGTTTTTTGTTAATTGATAATCAAAGATTAGTCGTTAGAAGAAAAGTATACAGTTATCCTACTACTAGATAATACTACCAGATAAATGTTAACAAGGTTAATTTAAATGAATCCGCGACAAGAAGCAAGAGAATACTCACTTACGTCAAGTTATGTTAATTTAGCAACTTGATGTCAATTCATCTCTCGAACTTGAAAGCAGAGTAATAATAATGATAACTTACTAATCAAAAGGGTAAACTTCCTTATTACCGTCGACTATTGGCCAATAACATATATGTAAACAGATAATTATTACTGACTCATTGAAATCATGAACCGATCAATATTAGAAACCTGGAAGCACTGGACGGCCGCATCAGGTTGAAACAATCTTCACGACCCTGTAATGCAATTATTACTTAGGCTGATTAGGTATTAAAGGTTGTCAACTAAGAAATATCAAAATGCGGGAATCGAAACTGGTGTCAGTGTGAAATCATTACTCTGTTTTTTAACCTAGACCTCTTAGTCCTCCCTCCATCTTCATTTGTAGTTCTATTTTCTTTGCTCATCTGGTTCAAAGCCCTGTAGTTTGAACTGATTTTTTCAGAGACGGAGTTCAATTTCGATCGAAAAAAATCTAACTACCATGAATTTGGACAGAGATGACTACACCATAAAATATTCATCAAAACTTTATTTATAAATGTAATATGTTCAAACATATTGCCACTGAGCTAGTACATGAAACTTTAGGTTGTCAATATTTTGTATCAGTTTACACTCTTTACACACTAAATACCTCTAGGTAGATATTTAACTTTCTTTCAAACTCTAACAGGTTACAGTTTGCTTCTAGGAAATCACAACATCAAGTCGTATAATCTAACAATATGACCGAAAGGATTAGGTAACTTCTTTTAAAACAGGGATTCTTTAGACCATAGTCTATTTTACTACTGACAGTCATTAGTTTTATCTTCAACATGGACGATGTACACAAATGACTCCTAAATTACGATTTACAATTTATTACGATGGAAATACTTTGTGGTGTAATCTTATTAAAGAAATAACTAAATTTTTTATCGAAAAACATTTAAATATGTTTATAATAAATATATTTTAGAAAATGATCTATTATAAACTAGCCATAGCTGAAATAATATTATCACTAAAATGTTAAAGTCACTTTTCTAGTTTCGATTTCAAAAAAATTTTCTTTACATTCACACACATTTACTCTCACCGAATCTAGTATATCAATAATTTCATAAAATGTTATCTGTTTGAAATTTTCGTTCACATTTAACTGAATATAATTATGTGACTGAGAAATGAATATTTTTAGTGCTTTATACCAATGTATAAACATCATGAATGATGATCATCTGTAACAATTGTGTTTAAATGATAATTCCTTTTGTGTATAATTGTTATGATCAGTCAATGAAATCAGATTCATTTATGAATAAGTAAATTCT